GAATATAAAAAGGCCGTTGATAAATAAAGTTTTTAGTTTTGCGTTCAGATGCAATAAAGGAAATTCTGCACAAAAATGAGTTTCTGAACTAAGACAGAAAATATGTTGTAATTTTTTAAAATGCGAGTTGTGAGGAAAAACCGAGTCGTTGAGCTGAAATATAGTCGCATAAAATTACGATGTATACGCGAGTGTGACAGGCGTGAAGAATTTGACAGTATCCATTCAGTTAGTCTGTTGTAATACGAGTGAAACCTCTTCAATGAGAATCTTTCAAGAGTCAAATTTTAATTCCTTCGTTTTCAAAAGAGGTGAAACGAATATATTTTTCAGAACACACACACACACACACACACACACACACATATATATATATATATATATATATATATATATATATATATATGTGTGTGTGTGTGTGTGTGTGTATGTATATTTGACTCTCCCATCGTTTTCGATGTATGAGAGTCAAGTAGCTCTCAGTTCTTAGAACCAACAGCCAGACTAACCGCACATATCATTTGATTATCTTGGTAAAGGCGTGTACAATTTTTACAATTTTTCGAAGATCCGAATACAGAGAACTGGTGCACAGTATGAAATAATGTCCCTTAAACAATCCTCTACAGGTTTTGGATTCAGAGTTCTTCTTCCCGTAAACCGTTCACCACCCAAGACTATAGAAACCAGTCTGGCCTGCTATCTACCCATAGCTAGGGTGGCAAGAAGAGATGAAATTATTTTTTGTCAAGATTATTAGCACATAGGTGAATGCAATGAGCTTGACATGAATTCGAATTCGGCTCTCTGATTCCTCAATATATATATATATATATATATATATATATATATATATATATTTCTCCCAAAGAAAATATGAAAAATATAATGCTTATATCGGAATTTCCGCGATTTTATACCCATTTTCTAACCCTAAACTAAAACATCAGATAAGGAAAATTGATACTTTGACATGTTTCGCTGATGAGAAAACGTCATTAGAAGAATTTCAGATCACAAAAACAAAATTGACATTGGCGAGACAAAACCTAATTTTTACTTGAACTGAAAGTAGATTTAAATAATTTCAACAGAATTTTTTATTTAGCCAATTACTTATGTTTTATGGTCAGAAAGCAAACGTTCCAATCACTTGGCGATGTGCTCATACTGAGACTGAGACAAAATTTGAAGTAAATAAATGTAAAATGTAACATTTTCTACAGTGATAAACTGACATCTTTCAGGTAGAAATTCACGAGCATCCTTGCCAATTCCTGGCCAGCCCCCTGATACTGAAATGCTTGTTTGTAAAAAAAAATCTATAACTACAGCGGATAGATTTAAAAATTCTAAAATAACTATAACGGACCGTTTTCACCCGTGTTTTAAAAAATTACTATCACAACGGAATGTAGATTTTATCGCAGTTGGAATAATTTATTTCTGAAAAGGATCTTAGAAAAAGTACTTGAGTTAAAAAACAAAAACTACAGCGCCCTCTTTGATGAATTTCATCATAAGATCAAAAAACTGATGAGACAGGAGGAAAGGATCAGTATAAGAATATGTAGACACAATATGTCGATATTTTTCAATTATATATATATATATATATATATATATATAGAGAGAGATAGAGAGAGAGAGAGATAATATTAGTGGTAAATATACATATACATATGCAAAATATATAAATATATACACATAGTTGCATACACATATATATATTTTTTTGAATAAAATATTCCAAGAGGATTGAATCCAGGTAGAACTCAATGTCTAGGACAGAGTAAGGATATAATAAAAAGGCTTAAACACTAATATTCCATGGTCATAATTTATTCCATTGGAATCGTAAATACGATCCAATTCATCGGACCTACAAATTCAAAAAGAAAACAAACAAAAAAAAAAAAACAACTCCGGAAATAAAAATAGAATTTAGAGAGAGGGTAAGTATGAGAGTGTGGGACGAATGTTAGAGCTAAAGAGAGGGGTAACAGATGAGAAGGTGGGAGATTAAAACTTAACAGAGAGACGTTTTAGAGAGGTGAGTTGAAGACGGTTTAAGTGAGAGAATATGAATGTTGTCTCTGTTAAGTTTTACTAATTCCAGTGGAATAAATTATGACCATGGAATATTAGTGTTTAAACTTTTATATCATATATATATATATATATATATATATATATATATATATATATATATATATATATATACACGGTTAAAATTAGATTCACCCGGAATACGGTTATATAAAAGCGTGCTCAATACACAATGTAAAAAAGAAAAATATTCAGAGTTAACAAATATCAAAGTCAAGGAATACTAACCACTCACGCTACCATAGTTCCCACCGGTAAAATTCCTTCAAACAGTGGAGCTTAAAATGAAGAAATATAGTTTTAAGGTATGCTGTATATATGGGATAAAGTGCTCAATATCAGAGATAGAGCGTATGTAAATATAAAAGTGAACATTGAAGTCAACACTCAGAGGCGACAGACTGTTTCATGCTAAATGCGATCATCAGGCCACATGCATTATTTTTTTTCTCGACTATTTATGCGTACGGGCCAATGGTGCATTGCGGTTAGTCTAATGTACTGTGGGTAGTCTATTCTAACTGTTATTTTGCGGGATTTGTTTATTATTTGTTTTATTTAATTGGGTTAATTTGTTTTACTTGTTTTTCAGTGTTGTTGGCCAGTTCTTCTTCTACTTTGCATTTTATGGCATCATGAGCAACAATAAAAATATATAAACAATCAAAGTCTTTGTCTTGCTAGCCTCTGGGCTATATGGCCAGCACCCTGTTACATACATACGATAAGCTAAGTTAGTATTCTAATTCTGTTTCGTAACCATCGAACCCAAGAGTCATCCCATCGTGGAACTGATAATTTATTTCCGTCTCTTGAATAACGAAATTAGTGTGAAAAATAATTGAGATTCTAATCGTCTGCGCAAATATCTAGACCTTCATTGAATCCTCAAGACTAGAGAAACGTTACTCGTGAAAGATAATTGAAGAGTGTAGAATAGTGTATAGTTTCTAAATATTGCTGTATAATTTTTAGGTCAGGAGAATTGCGTATTTGACAAGATTTCATCTTTTTTATATATATATCCGGCTGTTGAAAAATTGGATATTATTTGATCTATTTATTTCGAGAGAAATAATTTTGTACTTCATATGCGAAAAAAGTAACCTGAATTTTAATAATTAGTGTTTCGATACAGAAGTAATTTTTTTTTTGTTTCGTATAAAATTGAAAAAAATATTTAGGATTTGTCAAACGATTACGGTCGAACACTATATACAGAATTATATACTATTCAAAGCTTGTAAAATATATTTTTTAATCATTTTACCCCAAGCAAAACACACAAGAGGGTTATCGAGTGCTAGAAAAAAAAAACTAATCAGAAAAAAAGAGGAGGCACGTTGGAGTAGTGGATAACGTCTCGGTTTGAGAAATCAGAGGGCCGTGTTCGAATTCCAGTCGAATCCATTACATTCACTTACGTCTTGGGAAAGATGTGAATAATGTTCGTCTCCCCCCAGCTATGGGTAAATAGTACGACTGAGCAGGTTTTATAGCTCTGAATGGCAAAGAAAGAACTGGCAACCTACTACGGAAAAAAATCTGCCTTGTTTATCACGCGTGGCACATAACTGACCGAATAAGAAAACAAGATGAAGGAACAATAAAAGAAGAAGAATTAAGAAGACAGAAGATAATGATTGACACTGCATTTCAATTTTTGAAGATGAGTTTTAACTTTGAAGCAAAAAGCCTGAAGAAAATTTCACAAGAATTGGGAGAGAAAAATCCGTTAGCATAGAACTTACAGTTAAATCTAGATTCAAATGTAAAGTGATGAGACATAACTGATTTGAAATTTCTGTTTTTCAGGAAATATACTTTGATTATGCTTATTTCACCCTAATGGCTTGCATGGCTGCAAAAGATGATGGGAATGAGAGGAAAGGATGACAACGAGACACAACTACAACAAGATAGCGACGAGATGCATGATTGTAATGAAACCTGGACTGAAACTGAAAAAAAGCTATTGAAAAAGTTGTCAGTTTTATGGAAAGAAAGCCAGCATTCATCTATGACGATTGCAATAAAGCACGCAGAGATAAAAAGTGTATTTTATTTAAAAACCTTCAAGAACCAAAGCAAAACGAAATGCGGAAAAAGTTGAGAATGACATTAGAAGAGAAAGTATCATCATGCAACAGCGATTAAAAAAATCCTTGTTACATTATTTGTTTTGCATACGTGGCATACTTAATTTAATGAATTTTCATTAACATTACATAATTTATTTCTTTTTCCTTAAAATCAATTCCATTATATTTCAATCACAATTAGCTCATTTTGTTTACTATAAAACATTGAAAATAAATGTTAAACCTGATTTCAGATCTTTTATTTTAATCTAAATATAACCCCTCATATCCGGACTGTGTAACCAATTCCTCAAACCTGGAAGACATTCTTCGTCCGATTGTCAGGGATTCTACTGTATTGTAATAATTCTTTTAGATAATAATGATTTCGTGATACATGCTTTACATGTGGAACGAAGAGATAGATTCATTACCTTTCTCAGTGGTATTTCCATATAAGTAAATTGTTATAATGCTCGTATAAGCTTTTAGTTCTGGTTAATAATATTGTAAGGGAAACAGCAAAAGATAAGTGAAGAAATGTTTTTTCATCTGAGTCATATGGATTAATAATAGCGAAACCGTAGGTCAGTGGGCCAATACGTACGACTCAACGTTAGGCCTTGCAGCTCAACTTTTTGATCCCTGTTCCTATGAACAGACGCCCCACGCATAGTGGATGGACTATTCTATGTTCAACACTTAGTGTAGAGAAAGTCGGTCATGTTTTTACCCAACATGGGTATAATGAACCCAACCGGAATTGTAGCTCAGCTCTCCGATTAATAATTATCCATGACAACACCCGAACAGCAGCACCCGACATTCGCAAGCGGTCACCCATCAAGGTGCTAACCAAGCTGGACGTTGCTTAACTTCGGTGATCGTATGGGAACTGATGTAGCCGTAAGCCATTATAATTTTGAATGGCAATCTAGCCTCTGCTATAATATTGTGTCACAATGTATATCTAAACAAAGATGTCTTTTCTAAGAAAGAAATAACAGTAAAGGCATCAAAACTAATTATGTATTATTTGTAATAATGTAGATATTTTATTTCAGGAGCCGAAAACACATCAGTTTTATTATTACTAAGTAAACAGTGGAGGAAAAAAAAGATTGGTTTTCAAATTATAATTGAAAATAAGCGAAAGATAAGGCAACTCCTCGAAATTAATAATAAAACAGCTTCATTACAGAATCCTAAAACGGACCCCAATTATAATTTAATTAACGACAGACTACAAATCAACGGAATGAAGAAGCTTACAAGCGCATAAAAAGACTAAAACAACAAAAGAATTTTTACGAATGTAAATACTTCATGTCAAAATCATTTAATAATTTTGGATGTTTCTCGTCTCGTGATGGATATCGTCTTGGAAAGTGGACTTGGTAAGCTGATTTCGTTGCATTCATTTTTACATAAATAACCATGGAAAAAAAAAGTACGAATCGGGCTTTCGAAAATCCTAGAAGTGGCGTACTTATCGTTTGTGTCTCCCTTCTGAACATCATTACAAAACTGGGCAGCATCTGTAAAATATAAAGATTATAATTACAGCAGTTTTGGTCTCTTCAACGTTGTGTGATGGCTAGCAATCTTATCTCGCTGGAGCAATTACGACTTAATTGTGAGCTCGATTCTCACTCTGTGCTCCATACTTTCGGCATTGTGCCACACCTAAGCTACGCTTAGTACATAACTATATATATATATATATATATATATATATATATATATATATATATATATATTAAAAAGAAGGAGGAAAACGCAAAAGTTTTTGGAGTGTAATCCATAATTTTGCTACACGGGTTTCCGGTCTCGCTGCCTTCATCAGGCAAAGCATAGAAATTTCCACATGTTAAAAATAATTAATTTTTTCTTATGTTTTCGATGTTAAATATTCTCAACATGAGATTTTATCGTTTTAGTGTGTTAGTGAGCCAAATCACTATTTCATGAATATTTTTCTTGAATGTCTTTCTTTTAGTTTAAGAAAGACTTTTGGAACTGAATTATAATTTGTTTTTTTTGACGACTTCGAGAATCTGCAATAGAAATTGACTAGCCTCACTAGTAGAAAGGGGATCCTCGAATAGGAGTGGCCAGCTATTACTATTATTACGTTATATATATAACATTTACCGGCCTGAATGTCCGAGAAATTTTCATAGAAAATATTCGGGTTTTTGACAGGATTTGAACCTGCATCCTATATGGAACCGTCATTTACGCTGACGTGCCCTGACCTCAATATATATATATATATATATATATATATATATATATATATATATATATATATATATATATATATATATATATATATATATATATATATATATATATATATATATATATATATATATGAGATTATTATTATTTCGTTTATATATATATATATGTATAAACGAAATAATAGTAATCTCATTTGTGTTGGTTCAACACCCACTGAGCCAATCTGTGTTTTATACTGCAACTCAGCCTAGCAGACCTTAGTTACAGTTTCTGGAAGAGAGTGTGTTACTTAGATTCATCAACAATCTGAACAACACCAGCATACTCCAACCCTCTGTCACGATGACTTTTGACTTCGTGCTAGCACAGCTATTGACAGACCCAAGTGTTCCGTCCAATCAATTTCACCCAACTCTTTGCATGATTTCCAAAGGTGTCGCACCCTGGGATCTTCCTCCATCCAGATCGATAACATCAGGAGGTCTCCCTCCTGATGAATGGTCTATGGTGAGATTCCAATCCGATATATATATATCGTATTTTAGTAAATATTCGTATTTAAGTAGAGGCTCCATTTACATATGCTTCCTTTCGTAGACTGACCACTTTGAAAGAAAGGGAATTTGTCAAATACTGTTGATTAATGCTACAAGCTCTTCGCTATTAATTGAGCACTCTGCCAGTCTGTAATGCTTATATCTCGTATATAATCCGTAGCGTGAGATTATGGCCTAAAGGTTGAGAGTCAAATCGATCGGGTTTCGATTTCGGCTTGAAGCATTCACAGGTCTTGCATGTTACTGATGAGCTGTGGACCCTATATATATATATATATATATATATATATATATATATATATATATATATAATGTAAATTTCACCACTTTAAATCTGACACTGGTGGGGCAAATCACACCTCTGCCCAGTCTAGGTCAGCAAATAGTAGGACAGAGTAAGCACTCTTGCCCTCGTTTGGTATTGTAATCAGTTCACCCCACGCAAAGGAAGGCAATAATGCTACCAAAACACAAGAACCTACTGAGAATGAAAGCAAATTAAGAAAGAAAAAATGTACAATGAACCGTACCCCAATCTGGAAACAAGGGATAAACGCCTATTCCTGCTCAGAAGAACGGGGAAGAATGTGAACGGGACTAAAGGCGAACCTATTTACTCCTATTGAGGATGAATAAATAAATACATAAATAGTAAATAAAATTTCAGAGTTTAGGCGAAGATGTTAAGAGTATTATTACGAAATTAATCAAATTTCAAAATAAATTTAAAATAAAAATAATATGGATTTAAAAGAATCAAAGTCGCCACAATTTAACAGATTTGAGAAAATGATGTTTTCATTTATCTTTAGCCAAGAAGCAACACCCACGAATTCTTTGTACAGAAATAATTTCTGATAAAGGACAACAGGCCGACGCTTTGGGTTATGCCTGCAATGGCATCTGCCTTGTCGTAATGATAATGACAATTCTTTTTTATTTTAAAGTAGAAATACTGCCTCAAAACATGCAGATTTCTTGTTAAGACGGTCAACTTGAAATCTAAGATGACCATACTTAAACACGGCTGGCCCTTACCACTATTTATAGAACACAACGGCTGACATAAAAAAAGAAGAAAAAAGAACAAATTCGTCCACTATTCTTGTTCGGAAACATGAAGACATTTAGAATCAAATGAAATCACATGAAAAAAAAAATGACTGCTTGCTTGAGACAGAATTAAATTATTTTTCTTACGTTCGCGTGGCTTCTATAAGATCTAAATTAGGCTTCAATGTTCAGAGGGTGATTTAGCAAGACTTATTTAGCACCAGAATTGATTATCTGACATTGATTTCGGTTGATTAAGTGACTTGATCAACACCTTCATGGGTCTCTTAATGCGAAAATTTACATTTCTTGGGGGCTCTGAAAAATGAATATATGATATATATTATTCTGCTTTCACAATTGAATACATGGTAGATGATACGCAGCTTTTGCGAATAGACATGTTTGTATGGACATAATTACTAGAGGCGGTGATATGTATCTTTTATGTTGTAGTTTTATTAAAGTTATATTTTGGAATACAGTTTAATTTCTTCAAGAAATTGTACGATATTATATGAATTAATGTCATGAAAGAGTTCTTTCATTTTAGTTGTTTGATTTTGTTTAGCGGCATATAGATACCTCTATGGGTTATTTAATGCCAAAATCTAAATATTTTGAACACGAATTTATGGTTTTAACTAAATATATACTATAAATAGGTATTGTTGGTAATTTTACTATAAATATGTATTACTGGTATTTTTTATATAAAAATGTATTTTATAATTTCACATGTCTTGTTTTTGTTTGGGGAGTCACTATTTGCTCATAACTGGGACCCTAACAGGTGCTACCACAACGGATTTGGGTGGACCTTGGAACAAGAGAAATTAAGATGTGTTTCCACTCTTCTCTCTCCCGATCAGTGGCCTTGCTGCCAGATGTATTTTATCATCAAACGTAAGACGATATTGATTTATTTTTTTCTGTTAAATTTCTATGTCGTTAGTATCACAACGTTTCGGCTGTTGTGTCATCTGGTCTTCTTCAGATACCTACCGATCTGGGTAACTTGAACTCAGTAGATAAAGGCGAGCAATTACTAAGTAGTTTTCTTTTATATATGTATGTGCCATGAGTATTTCGATTATATCAAACAAATGTTCCCTAAACATGATATGCTTACATAGTCAAATAAATAAGGATTTTTTTTTAAGCATTTCACCCCAAGCAAGGCGGGAAGCCACTAGGACGCAACGGGTTACAGAAAGTTTAGAGCAAGATCAGATAGGAGTGATAGAAGAAAGGATGAGGGTAGTGGATAGATCAAGGCAATTGGAGATGTCGATTGACATTACACTTGAATAGCTGGAGATTATAGCTCACAGGGAAACAGGAATAGGGAAGGGAGTTCCACAGGCGAGAGGTGCGAGACATGAAGCTATTAGAGTAGAGAGACGGCTACATTTAGGAGTTTCGACAGTGAAGGGGTGAGAGCGGGATGCCAGCCTCGTAAGGCGCTGGAACTTATGACGTCTGGGAACCAGCAAATGCAGCTTCTTGGAGCAATTTCCATGAAAGTATTTGTAGAACAGACAGAGGGAGGCGACGGCGCGTCTGTGAGAAAGTGACTGTAGACGAGACGCCAGGGCAGGGCCAACTACATTGCATATCCGCCTCTGGAGCTTATCAAGGACCCCGAGGCAAACAGAAGGGCCACCAGACCATATATGGAAGCAATACTCCATGCAAGGGCGAATTGTTGATTTGTAGATCTGGAGGATCGACTCCGGGGAGAAAAGCTTCCTGGCGCGGCTCAGGAAGCCAACTTTCCTTGCCGTGGACGAGGCAATTGACTCAATGTATTTATTCCATCTCAGGTCAGCAGTCAACACATCATTCAAAACAAAACATTTCCTCTGTCGCAATAAACGGGTATTTTTTCAGAGCACGTGGCGTCCTTGAGAAAACAATGAGGTAACTTAAAATCAATCCAGAACTTAAGTCGAAGTCGTACATAATATCCATTGCTAAAAATCACAGAAAAAATAGTCCGTTCTCTGTAGCGCTCTAGTAAATACCTGATATCTCAGGCTATGTTCTTG